GGAAGGAAGGAATAAAAGAAACAGAAGAGAGGGAACCAGGCCCTGGAAGGATGGGCTCAGGCCTCACCTCTCCCAACAGGTTTGCAGCCAGCCTCATCTCTGGTGTACTCAGCTACAAGGCACTGCTGGACAGGTAGGATGGGGCCCAACCTGGGAGGGCATGTGTCCTATATCAGCAGTTTGCCTATGCATCTGTCTCTCTCTTGCACTAGACTGGGAGCTTCACAGGGCAGGGACCTTGTCTTTTCCAGTTCTGTATTCCTGGCTCCTGTCACAGAGCAGGTATCCCTCCCCCGCCCCGGTTTTGCCCTACCCACTACCCTAGTATCAGGACAACCTTTAGCCTACCTGACTAGATTGTTAATTTCTTCTTTTCCTAGGGTAAACACCACTCTTCCTTTTAAAACAGCTCCTCCCTCCATACCTCCTGTGTGCACATGCAGTGTGAGTTAGTTTGAAACTAGAGAACACATTGGAAGGTGAAAAAGAAAAAGTAGTTAGAGTAAGGTGATAGTGAGTTCCACTTTATCACTTAGGAGTGGTCTCCCTCTGTTGAGCCTCTGTTTCCTCAATCACCCAAGTTTAGTGAACACCAAGGTGTTCTGACAGATGGATAGAGCTGCTCAGGCACAGTGGGCTCTCTGACTTTAGGAGAAAGTCCCTCTCCTGGGCAAGCCCCAGTTTGCCTGGGAGCAGAAGGGAGAGCAAGAGGGTCTGGAGGACCAGCTCCCCCAAGGCAGAGACTAAAAGATGCTGGAATGAGAGTGGGGCCCAAAGAAGTGTTCCTCGCACAGATGAGGGAGCTGAGGCTCATAGAAGTTAAGTAACTTGCCCATGGCCAAACAGCTGAGAGGTGGCAGAGTAAGAAGGGCACAAGGAACCGACTTCACACTCTGTTCAACTTGATCCAACTCAGTCTTCCTTCCTCATGGGCAGTGCTCAGATCCCTCTCAGAACTCATCCCTCCAGCTCACAGTCCAGTCTTTGCTTTCTAAGAGCGTCATCCCACTGGGCCTGGGGACACGCTGGGCCTAGAGCATCCATGGCTGACAGTCTCAATCTCAGACTCTCACATGTGTACACACTCACATGAACACACATACCATGCATTTCCACGTAAAGGTTCTTACTTCCAACGACAGTAAATGTCATAAGGCTGGACAGTAAATGTCATTTGCCTGAGTGTCTATTTTGAAACTTTAATTCATTCATTCATTCATCTATTCACTTTGAAATGTGTTGATGCTGGGAAGATGAACAGAAATAAGACCTTATCCTGCCTGCTTTCAAAATATTCTCAGGGCAAGACAGACACATAAACAGACAAAATGAGCCCCAAACTTGATCATCATTCAATTCCCAGACATCCCAACTGGGGTGTTTCCCAATCATTGCAAACAAGTCCAGAGAACTTTGCCTCTCCCTCCCCATCCCCCCACTTGCCTCTCATCTTCTCTTACCATCTCAGTAAGTGCACCAGCACACTCCCAGTTGGTGAGTCCAGGAACCTAGAAGCCACCTGTGGTTCCACTTTCTCCCTGGCACCCTCATCTAATCTACAGCATTCAGGTGTGGCTACTCTCCCCCACAGAACATGTACTCATGCCTCCCTTCTCCCTCCTTGCTCCCTCCAAGGCCCACACCACTTCTCAGCTGAAGCCTTTCTTCATCTTCTTGTGACCCCCTTTGATCCATTCTCCCCATATAACCAGGATCATCAAAAAATCAAGACGTAAAACAAAGCACGCCCCACATGCTAAAGACTTCCAAAGGCTTTCACTGCACCAAGAATAAAATGACAGCTCCTCACCACTGCTACAGCAGCCCCACAGGACCTGGCCTGCTCACCTCTCCAGCTTTCTCTTCACTCAGCTTCAACCCCACTGGCTTCCTTTCTGTCTTCCACCAGTGCTTCTCAAACTATCTCTGGGGAAGGACAAATTTTCTTTTTTTAATTTTGTAAATTTTTCAGAAAATGCAAAATGAGTTACTAGAAAATAGTACAATGGCACAAAATACAAAACCACATAAAACAGACATAAAATCCCTGTCACATTGCTACAGACACTTCTGGATTCAGGCACTCACCCAGTCACAGGTCAGTCACAACAGTTCAGTGTGACACTCCACCCACCCTCCTCCATGCAAGAGGACTCAGCTCAATCAACCTGGCCTCAGTGATACTGTCCTGGCCATCTCCCCCTGCCCCTGTCATTCACTATGTCTCACTATTTGAAAGTCTCATGTTCACCAATTTGCTGCTTGTATCCATGCCCCACATGTACATCCCAGGATCTACACCCTAGTAGAGCTGGAAAACACATGTCATATATGCTGATGCATCCCCAGGTCCCAGAATGGTGTCTGGCACAGAGGAGGTGCTCAGCAGATATTTGTTGGCTAAAAGGGTGGGGAAGATGAATGAAAGAATGCATGATGGATAGGTGGATAAATGGAGGGATTATACATACATGGATGGATAGATGAATGGAGAAATGCTTGTGAATGAATGGTAGATGAATGCATTATGAGTAGATGGTTGGCTAGATGGATGGACACATAATGGGTGAATAGATGGATAAATGGATAAATGCATGGTGGGTGGATGAACAGATGGATGCATGGTAGATAGAAGCATAATGGATAGGTGGATGGATGCATGGCGGATTGATGGATGCATGATGAGTGAATGAATGGATAGGTAAATAGAAGAAAGAGAGGAGAAAAGGGAAGGATAGATACAAAGCATGCTGAGACCACAGGGGAGAGAGAACTTTCTGCCTTGACTACAGAGGAGACTTCTAAGAGTTGATAAAAAGTAAGTTCTTGAAAGAGGAGAAATTTTCTTTGTTGTTGTTGTTATTATTGTTGTTGTTTTGTTTTATTTTTTATTTTAAAGATGTGGGGTACAATTCAGGGTTAGGTATACAAGTGTTCATTATTCAGGTACCCTTGTTGATGTGGTTTTCTAAATAAAACAGCTGAGTGCTGGTGTTGGGGCAAAAGCGTGCCAAGCAAAGATCAACACAAGCAAAGGTGTGGGAGGCCAACTGGCTAGGTTTGTCCATGCAGTGAGTGAGACAAGTGAGGGTGGACTAATGGAGGTTTAAGAAAACCCCAAGGGTCTCCATAGGCTGCAGAAATGGATACTCCACTACTTTAAAAAGTGGAGAATTGAGCTCTGTGATTGCTATGGTGATACAGTTCTGGGTTTTGGGCCCCATTTTGCCTGATCAAGATATAATAGAACAAACTCTGATTCTCTGTCTCCCCCATCGCATCCCCTCATGGCTGCCTGTGCCTGTCTCTGTCCCTATTCCCCCTCCAGCCACACCATCCCCACCGACTGTGCCAAGGGCCAGCTGTCAGGGCAACCCCTTTGTATGAAGCAGTATTACGGGCTCTTCTCCTCCTACCGGCTCCCTGGCCTCAAGCAGGACACACTGGTGGCCCAGAAGAGCAGCATCATGCCCGAGCCTGAGCACATCATTGTGGCCTGCTGCAACCAGGTAAGCTATCCCTAGTCTTGGGCTCAGGGAGGGCCATGGGCACACAATGACCCTGTGTGCCCATTTTTGCTTCTCTGAGGGTGCTCAGCCCACTTCCCTGAGTCACATGGTGAGCTGGGGCATAGTGGGCATAATGTGGGGTCTCCTGTTCCCAGTCAGTCCCATTTGTCTCCACCAGTTGGCTTTTAAGAATCATCAGTTTGAGAATACTTTCTCTGGGCCCTCATTTCAGCCCTAATGGACTGAGGGTCATGTTTGAGACCCAGCATGGCCTCAGCCCCTCCTCTTGCACATGCTATGCAGTCACCTAGGCCATCTTTCTGGAGAACACACACAGAAGGACAGAGTTACAGACCAACTATGGGACCTCCCATATGCCAGACCATGTGCTTGGCACTGACATGCATTCACTATTTAACCTTCAAGACAACCCTGCCAAGGGACCTTAGACTCTTTGTATAACAGATGAAGATATGTGACTCACATAAGTTAAATGGTCTGTCCAAGAGTGGGAAGAACTCTTAGATCTGGTCAGTGTCCCAAGGCCATCTTCTATTCCCTACCGCTCAGGTCTTCAGACTGGCTTCTGTAGAGCCAATACAAACATCATGGGGGCCTGTGGACAGGCTGAGCTTGAGGGCTCCTAACTCCTTCTTGTACATTTCATATACTGAGTCTTCACCTCATCTGATAAAAAGTGTTTTTTTTTTTTTTGGCTAAAACTCAAGCCTAGCAATCATCGCAGGGACTTCCTGTTCTGTGAAGTTTTCTTCTTGCATTCACCTCACATTCTTAGTAAGTTGGGAGCTTGGTAGAAGTCTGCCATCTGAGAGTGGCTGTGACTCCTGTTCCTAGGTTTGAAGGCCAACTAGGAGGTATCCATTCCCACCCAACACCTTGGCTGGCCAACCACAGACCAAGGACCTTCCTCCATCTTCATAAAGACAGGCCCAGCATCTCCAAGCCCCTACAGACCTCCCAGACATTACTGAGGGCAGGAGATGGGGGAGGGATGAGAGCTTCATGTCAATCACCTGAAAAGAGCATTTCAACCTGGGTCTAAGAGGAGAGGCTTCACAAAGCCTGAGGTTCTGGCCTTCAAAGCTGCACAATGACAGTATCACAGGGCTCGCATGCAAAGCACATGTAGGTACACATGTGTAGATGCCAAGTATGCATAGAACATTCTGTGTGTTGGTTTTCTATTTTAATCTTGTTCTGCATCTAACTTGCTGGCTTGCTTTTTAAACCACTCACCAGTGTGTTTGGGATCCATCCCTGTAGCTCTATCTAGAGTAAGTTCACTTCTTTTTAACAGTTGGGTAGACATGGCCTGGATGGGTACACTACATTTTACTTAGCTGTTTCCCTGTGGCACATTCCTCATGTTTTCTGGTGCACGTGTTTGTTTCTCTAAGCCTTAGGCTAAGATGTGCATTTCTAAGTGCAATTGCTTAGTCATAGGATATGCACATTTTGGGTTTTGATAGACACTGCCCTCCAACAGTGGCTGTACCAGTTTTTACTCAATTCCCTGCAAACATATTGATTTTAAAACCACAAAAGTATGGGGGTTTTGAGGGCTATGATTACTCTTGCATTCTTTGATTGGGGCGGTGTGGACTCCAGCACATTCAACAGTCTTGGGTTGGTTCCCACATTGAGACTGTTCAGAACCACCAAACATCTTGGGAACTATGGGCCTGGGCATTCCTGTCCTGAGCTCACCTGAGAAGGCTGAGTGGAAGACCTGGAGTGCTGGTCGCCCCTATGAGTGACGTGTTTGACCTGTTTCCCCACAGTTCTTTGTCTTGGATGTTGTCATTAATTTCCGCCGTCTCAGTGAGGGGGATCTGTTCACTCAGTTGAGAAAGATAGTCAAAATGGCTTCCAACGAGGATGAGCGCTTGCCTCCAATTGGCCTGCTGACGTCAGACGGGAGGAGCGAGTGGGCCGAGGCCAGGACGGTCCTCGTGAAAGGTTAGCAGCAGTGCCCAGCGCGTCTCCACACCCATCTCATCCTCATGCCCATTGACCTTCCCTCCTCCAGGGTTGGATGCCACGGCCTCATCTACATTAGCCATAGCGCGGGAGTTCAGGTCTCCCTTCCTCTCAAGACCCCCAGTAAGTCCTACTGTCAGCTGAGGCATCTCACAGCTGAAGGTACCTTTGGTGCCCTTGTGTTTTGTCCAGCAATATTCTGGCTTTATGGGAGACTACCCCATGCTGGAATTGTGGGATGTCTGGTAATATTGGGGAGGGTAATATTGAGCTGGAAGAAGGATGGCTATAAGTGGGCAGTTGTGTTTACTGATGAGCTGGGATGGTGCTCATTTAGGGATCTTTGTGGTTGGGGGGGTCATTAGATGGGGGTTTGGGTGTAGTCTACTCTGGGAAAATGGTTGGCCACCTCCTTCACCTGATTTCTCCATCCTGAGACTTTTAATCTTCAAGCTGTCCCTTATCCTTCTGGCTACCTGCTGTTCTTATGAACGTTTCCAATGAGTTCCATAAGAAAGTCAGTAATATTGTTGAAAACTTGTAATCATTCTTCGGGAAACTATTTTAAAAACCCAAATCCAGCTCGAGTTCCAGGAACTAGATGAAATACCTTCCTTCCTTGTCCTCATTAGAGATCCTGGGATGAAAAGTGAGACTACTATGAGTCTCCAACCGTGCCTTGGACTTTCATGGAGCCAGGCAATCTATTCAGACTACTTGCATGTATATAACTGGAGGGTCCTGGGCTACACCTGGCAGTTGTGAGAGAGGGGGGTACAAAGCTTCTGTCCCTGAGTGGCCCAGTGATAGGAACAGGGAAGAGAGGGCATGGGAGAGGAGATTCAAATACAAGGGTATGTTCTGTTTACCAAGTACTCCAAGACTTCAGAGAGGGAAGGGGGCCTTCTAAGTGGGATTTTGAAAGACTCTGTTGGAAGAGGTAGGAGTGAAGCAATGCCCTGTGCCATGAGTGAGAGGGACTGGAGAGAGATAGGGATGGCCTCCAGACAGGTGGACCAGCCGTGGGGAAAGCTGGCCACTCAGCAGTGACACACCTGCATTGCTCTGGGGACCACAAGGAGGGCAGCTGGCCAATAAAGATGGCCATGCTGGACATACTGTAACCTGGTTGTCTGACAAGCACTTGCATTTTCTAGCCCCTCTTTCTAGAAGTTTCCTCCCCCAGAGTCGAATGGATCTTTGTGTCATGCAGAACTCAGCTCAGATGTCCCGGCTTCAAGCCCTCCTTAGCATCTGTTCTGCACATCAGCACATCTGTCATTTTGGCCCGTTTTCTTCTCGTGAGTGTGTTGCTCACTCTCTGAGGGCAGTTTTACATGTTTGATGAATGCTGATCATCTGCCTTCTTCCCCAAGTCTGTAAGGTGCAGGAGGACGGAGGTCTTTTCTGTTTGCTTTAAATTCTGAATCTGCTACACCAAACATAATAGGGGCCCGATTATATTTGTCAAATAAGAGAATAAAGGGTGATTAATGATACCAGGCCCCAGACTTATTTCCTATTTACCAATTAGTTGTTCTTTCATCCAATTATTGGGCATCAGCTGAATGCTTGGTCCTAAATAGGGGGCTAAGGGGGCCACAGGGAGATATGAGAGCCAACTGTCCTCACAGACCTAACTGCTTCATTGGAGAATTAATAACTTATGATTCGAAAGTGAGTTAATTCCCTCAGGAGACCATGGTGTAATCAAATCCCACCCATCTCCCCTCCAGAGACAGAGACAGGCATCAAAATAATCGCCTCCGTTTCTAGTGTGGTTTCCACTTTATTAGCAGTCCAGGCCCAAGATGACTCCCTTCAGGACTGACTAGGATTGCCTTGAGGTTTAAGTGCTTAGACTGCCACTAATCATAATTAATTTGTTAATGGCACTTGATCTGGCTTTCTGAATGGAAGTGCTGTTTCTGAGGGAAGTGTGACAGAAAAGAGGGGACACATACACCTCCCCTTGAGCAATCTGATTAATCCAGTTAGCTCCAACTGTGTCATCTGCACAGCTGGAAACTGATCCTTCACAGAGACCTTCCCTCTGGAGAAGCTCCTGCCCACAGAAGGGAAACAGGGAAACCATTTAGGAAATGATTTTGGTTTCCAAGTGAAAGATTACATCAGGTTGGGCCAGAAATGAGGGTGAAAATGGGTAGAGGGGTGGGGTCTAGATATGGTTCAAAACAGAAGCAACCAGAAGGAAAGAGAAGCAGATTTTTTAATCTGAGCTACTGAGAAGATGATAGCACCTTTACTGAAAGGGAAACAGGGTTGGGGAGAGGAGGAATTCTCTCTGAGCATGTTAGGTCCAACATGGATTGAGTCATCTGGATGGAGATAGAAAATTTGATCTGTTTGTTTGGAGCTTAAGGAAGAGGCCAATACAGAGCTATAAATTTGAGAGGCTTCAGCACTTAAATTATGTTTAAAGTCATGGACCTGGATGAGATCATCTAGAAGACAGAAGAATGGGGACCCAGAGATCAGGTAGAGAAAGATGCAAAGGGGATTGAGGAGAGCAGCCCACAAAGTAAAGGAAAACCAGAGATGAGTCACAAAGATTCAAGAGGGAAGAAGGGAGTGGCCAGCCACATAGAATGCTGCTGAGACCTTGAGGAAGAACAAGACAGAGAAGAGACAGGGCCTAGCAATTCTGAAGTCATCTGTGAGCTGACCAAGGGTCAAACTAAGGTAGCAGCAAGAACAAATAGTATATGCTGAAAGAAATTGTTGATGAAGTAGATAATGAGTAGAACCAGTGAGTATGGTTGACTCTTTTCAGACATTTTGGTATTAAAAAGTGCAGAAAAATGAGGGAGTTGTTAGAAGAAGATGAGGGTCAAGGGAAATGATTTTAGGAGGAGAGACAAGTGGGTGGTTGTACATAGATAAGTGCATGAAAAGGAATCCAGTAAAAGAAATTGATGAGAAAGGAGAGACATAGAGGAGTAGAATTCATGAAAAGGCAGGTGGAGCCCAGAGAGCAAGAGACCTTTGGTTGGTACAGGGGAAAACAGAAAGCTTGGGCCCAAGGCCTGCTGGACTGTGGTTGTAGGGGCAGGAATATGAGGTGGCTCTCAATTGGTAGCACCTGGCCTCAGATCAGCCATGAGTTGAGAGAGGTGGGATGCAGGATTCTGAAGACAAAAGAGAATGTATGAAATAGCCTCTTGGAAAGTGGGAAAGAAAATTTAGGAAACTTAAGATTTATGGACTCTGTGGAGCTCATATATGAGGATTTTGAGTCATAAATTTTAGGAGAAGCTAATTAACATTGTTATGCAACTCCCCTGCCACAATGTTCGTCTTACCAGAGTTAGTAAGTAAAACTGGGGGATGGGGGTAAGAGAGCAAGGAATGGTTATAATGTTGGATCCTGAGCCAAGTAAAGAGGTGTGTTAGTCTGCTCAGGCTGCCATAACAAAGTACCAGAGACCAGCTGACTTAAACAATAGACATGTATTGTCCCACATTCTGGAGGCTGGACGTCTTAGATGAAGGTGCCAGCAGAATTGGTTCCTTTTGAGGCCTCTCTCCTTTGCTCACAGATGCTATATTCTGCCTGTGTCGTCACGTGGTCTTCCCTCTGTGCGTGTCTGTGTCTTAATCTCTTCTTCTTATAAGGAGACCATGCATATGAGATTAAGCCTCATTTAACTTAGTTATCTCTTTAAAGGCCCCATCTTCAAATACAGTTACATTCTGAGATGCTGGGAGTTAGTACTTCAACACATGAATTTTGAGAGAAAACAGTTCAGCCCATAACAGGAGGAGAGTGAGAGGCCGAGTGGATGATGGGTGGTGAGAATATAGCAGGGCCGATGAGTTTTGGGAGTCTCAGTGAGGTGAGACATGTTCAGTGGGTAACAGTATGTCAATTAGAAAGCCAAGAATCCAGTCAGAGTGTGGGGTGCTTGAAACTTCATTTGAGAGGTGGTGGGCTCCTTATAACAAGATGTTCCAAGATGTGATCTTGGGAGTGGGTGTGAAAGTTACACTGTCAAAGGTGAGAAGTTGAGGAGTTGAGAGAAGATAATGTGGGCTGGGGTGTCCACATGGATGTCCATACTACTGAGGATGATTATTCCGGTAGGGATGGAGAGGAGGCAGGTGGACTGGGAGCCCAAGTCTTTGTGACAGGAAGCAATGAGGAGGTTGGTGCAGTACAGCAACAGGGTAATGATAGCGATGGAAGATAAAAGTCTAACAGCTCCAGCTCCAAAGGGAAAAGGGATGAGGGAGGATGAATTGCTTAGAAGTGAGAATAGGGAGAAGGAAGTCATCTACCTGACCTGGCCCTGGACTACATGAATGTGAAGGAAAACAACAGTGTCCTGTGAGAGAACCACAGAAGAGTTGATCCCTCAAGGGAATGTCATGCTCCAGTTGAGGCAAAGGTGGATGGAACACCTACAGAAGAGGTTAGCCATGCAGGGAAACTGCCCCATCTTGAGACAGGCACCACAAAGGGCTCAGAAAAGAGGGAAGGAGAGAAGTGAGGACTGAGTGCACTTAGGAAACATGTGGAGCATGGGGAATGGAAGAGTCAATGAGCCCCCCAGAGATGGTGGTCATCATTGCCATGATGCTCCCAAATCCTTACCTTCTGGGAAACTGCTCTTTCTGGGCCCTGGCAAAGGCACAGCTGCCTAACTGGGGTTTTGGGCTGAGGTTTTTTTCTGGACCACAGCAGTATCTTAATTAACACTGTGGAATGGGTTGAGCTATTTCAGGGCATCATAGCTCCTAATCCTCACAGTTAAAGCCCCGAGGTCCCTACCACCCTTCTTGGGACTTGGATAAAGAGACAGTGCCTATATGCATTGGGCCAAGGCAGGTCCAGGCCAGCAGGAGGCCTTGGCCAAGCCAAGCACCTCTTATCCTGGTGGAGGTCTGGACCAAGGAACCCAAGCTCAGACACAACGTGTCCCTGAGTTCTCAAGAGGTCAGTTGAGCAGGGCAAAGGT